CGATATATCGCCAAAACGATTATTTCCCACACCCCTAGTAAGGAGTGCATGTTGGTTCACCTCTCACCCTGTCTGAGGTTGAGCTTTTTGAGAAACAAGGGGAGCAAAATTTAACTTTGTAGATGTGTAAAAATCACAAAAGGTGGTCCACTCATTATCTCAGAGGCTGCATCAAATGTGTGGAGCTCTAAGCTAATAGTTTTCCTGCCGACAGAACACTGAACTCTAAACTGGTTTTATTCTTTAAAAAAAAGAGGGAGATGGACATGTATCTGTCCCTTTCTTTAAGTTGGTCTGTCCCATGAAATACTTACAGGGCATATGAATGTTTGTGGTTATAACTGAAATATGAAAATCTTGAAGGAATATAGACATTTTTCTAGTCTCATGCTTCTATAGACTGATTATTAGGGTGTATTATAACCCTAGTTTGAACCATCTCCATACACATGACTGGATTTCTGATGAATCCAAAATGTTTCCAGGATACTTCAAGTGGAGGACCAGCTCGGGCCTACCCAGTGGGCGGGCTCTGCTACTACCTTTCTCCTCCCGAGTCATTTGGTTCTGTTCTAGATGACCCGGTTCACGCGGTCATCTACATAGTCTTCATGCTTGGTTCCTGTGCCTTCTTCTCAAAGACCTGGATTGAGGTGTCAGGATCTTCAGCCAAAGATGTAAGTGTTGTGTTTTTATATCAAACCGCTTGGCCTCCGACTGAGTCCAACACTAAACTCATTTTTGTGTGTGTTTGTTTTGCTTTCCAGGTGGCAAAACAACTAAAAGAACAGCAGATGGTAATGAGAGGACACAGAGAGACCTCCATGGTGCATGAACTCAACAGGTACCTCCCACGTTTCATTTTGGGAATGGTGTTTATTAAATGATCTTTTAAAGTGACGTCTAATTTTGATTCCTTCCTGCAGGTATATCCCTACAGCTGCAGCATTTGGGGGGCTCTGTATAGGAGGGCTGTCTGTCATGGCAGACTTCTTGGGAGCTATCGGATCTGGAACTGGAATCCTCCTTGCCGTTACCATCATCTACCAGTACTTTGAGATCTTTGTGAAAGAGCAGAGTGAAGTCGGCAGTATGGGGGCTTTGCTCTTCTAATTTCAAATAGGCCAATCTGACCCACATGAGAAAGAATCCACTTATTTTTATTTTTGTTTTATTTTGTTTTGCAACCTCTTCTGTCAGTGTATTTTGCAGCAGGGATAAGTAATCTTTTTTTTTTTTTTTTTTTACTCCACCATTTTTGTTTTCCACCATACATCTCTTGCTATAGAGAATAAGACAAGTGTTCAGGTTACTTTAAGGGTTAAGTGTTGTATCTGTAAACATGGATTGATTTTTTAATTTTTTTTTCTCAGTAGAGGTCTCTGCAGGCTGCCTGATTCACCCCTTGGCTGCCTTATCAGCCGAAAAACGCTTAAAAGCACACGGTTGTGAGTGGCTGTCTTTGAATTACCTCAGGCATTTCTCATTGTAGGCGTATAAGGAACACTAAGACAGCAACAGCATTTTGATCTAAAGCTGAAGGTATTCTGTATGGACATTTCAGGAGGATCTGACAGAAAGCCTTGCCATGTTAATCACCTGTCAACCATGTTTGAGATTAAGAAAAGCCTGGAGAGTGATGCAGAAAGCATACCGAGAATAACGCGGTACTTCTAATAATTCTCTGGCTATCTCAGACAAACTATTTGTAACATTCGTTTATTTTTTTGTTTTAAATCACTGACTGTTTATATCAACACCCATCTTACGCTGGGTACAGCGTTTGTCCAATATCCCTGGGCCCTCAGCGGATCTTGTCTGTTTCATCACGCTCTTTTATTCCCAGACTCAATCGCTGCTGAAAACTGCCGGGATGGTCGGGATGAGGGTGGGTTTGATAGGGCTAAGAAAGGGGTTCATTTTTGTTTTTACTTTATGTATGGCATAATTGTGTTATTAAAAAAAAATGTTTTCCAACACAGCTTGTGGTTTCATTTATTTTCTTACGATCTTTTAACAGTCATTTATAAAATGAACAACATATCTTTATTTGTACAAAAAGAATAATGCACAGCAACAATTTAGCCAAGTTGAGTGTAGGTAGTATAGAGCGCGATATAATTTGTGCACATTAGATAACAGGTATTCAGACAAATAATTTGCTACAGCCAGAAGATTTTGGCTGGTCCCTAACTTTTACTCCAGAACCTGGTGTCCTAGGGGTAGAATACATTTTTTACCGCTTTACAACTCTATTTGTACAAAATCAATTTATGGGGTTTGTCACAAAAACAATCCATAACTTACTGAATTCTACTGGAATTTTAAGTAATGGAATAGCTTCAAGTTGCAGGTAATTGCAAAGTGGAAGTAAACACAAATTTTATATTTAAATCCTCACGTTTAACCTGAATTTTATGTATCCACCCCACTCTGATTCAATCCTCCGTAATCTATTGCTTTTGAAAGTCAATTGATTATGCTTATAGTTTAATCCCGGCTGTTATTTGAAGTTGTATAGATGCTTTTACAAATTTCAACATGAAGACAAGTGAAATACACCTAACAGATGTGGTGTTATAAACCAAAGTCTCTTAAATGCATCTCAAGTCAGGATGCCAACCTCGAGACTCAACAGCATGATGCTGCCATTACCATGTTTCACACTGGGAATGGTTTCTTCATTGTTAGTTTTTCACAACATTCAGCATCTTACATGTATTTAAAAATATATATATTTTGAAGCCAGATTTTATAGAGCTGTAATATTCTGTTGGTCTTCCACATAAAGTATTAAAACACCTTAAGTCGAACGTATGTTTGTAAATGGACAAAATTTTAAATAAACTCAAAAACGGTACATTTATTTTTATATATATATATATATATATATATATATATATATATATAATATATAAAGTTTGCATGACGTAATTATTGTGCGCCATATTAGAGGGGTCATAATCAAAGGGGCGGAGTCACCCCGGCGGCGGTGAAGGCGGTGTGACACCTGCTAGCTTTTCAAATGAAACCTCTGTTGTTTAACAGAGTCTTTCGGTTCTGTAGTTTTTCATCGAGGAGGACGGAGGTCCACGGAGAAAAACACCAGCAGACATGTCGTACTGCAAACAGGAGGGTAATTTGAATGTTTTCTGGCTATATGTCGGCTCATGGTTTGGTAATCTTGGTGAGCCAGCATGCTGGATGCTAGGCTAACGTCTAGAAACTGTTAGAACTTCCTGTAGTCCCAAGTGCTTTTGATAGCGAGCTTGGAAATAAACATTTTTTGGTTGTAAAGTCAGGCTGGAAATGGCATGTAGCTAAACGTACTGATAAAGCAGTTTAAAAGAGTAAATCCTTCCCAGTGCTGAACTAATAGCACTAATCCTTTTATCTAGTGCCACCGCCAGGGGTCGCTGTCGATCATAACTGTGTGATACCAGTGACAGTTTGCTGTAAACTTGCAAACAAAGCACTTCTAATTATTGTTTTTCCATTGATTGCAATTGAAGGTAAGGATCGGATCATCTTCGTGACCAAGGAAGATCATGAGACCCCCAGCAACGCCGAGCTGATAGCAGACGACCCTGAAGACCCATATGAGGAGCGGGGTTAGTATTATATTAAGGAGAGCTGTCATTTAAACGTATTTTTCTTTTTAGGTTATAGTAGCTTTAATAGTAGAAAGCCTGGGCAGTGTTGTGATATAAGAAAGCCATCCATTTCTATCGAAAAGGTTATACTATTGAGATGAAGAGCGCTCTAATTTATACTTAAGCTACTTGGACTAAAAAAAAAAAAAACACTTTATACTTCTTCCATATATATCTGCTAGATATGTGCCAACTTTCATCAGAAATGGTAGATCTCCTTTGCTTTGCTTTCCTGGCACAATAATGTCTTCAAATCAAAGTCCTTAAATCATCAATATAATATTCATGTCACATGGATATGACATGCAGCTGGAGACTCTGTACAAATTATTTCACCTCAAGTTTTGCTTACGCTCCTGCATTGCTGAGTGTGAATACTTCACTCAGCATAACACTACCACCGCCTTGTTTTACAGTTAGATATTACAATCTAGAAAGCATATATGCAGAAATATTGCAAAATGGCTCCATTTGCGTTTTCAGAAACCATTTTGATTTCACAGCGTGTTCTGTTTTCTCTATGGACGCGCTCTATTTTTAGGGTTAGGGTCAATGTGGCTTCACTGTGGACAGTAATCCTGATGTTCCTGCAGTGTTCTGTTTAAAGGGGCCTGGAACCTTAGGCTTTCTTCAAGGTCGATAGCCATCTGATGAATGGATGTAACTGTTTAACTAGGCCGTGTATTTATTTCACTGTATGTTATTTAAAAATCATCAGGAACTTATCTTAATTAATGATCCAAATTTATATAGGAAATCTATTGATTGTATTAACTTTTTTCTATTTAAATGAAAGATTTCTGATTACTGAATAGAATCTTGTAGTTTTCAATTCAATTCAGTTTATTTATATAGCGCCAAATTCACAACACATGTCATCTCAAGGCACTTTACAGTTCAACCTGATCATACAGTTAAATCGATACAAAGTTTTCTATCTAAGGAAAACCAGTTGATTGCATTGACTCATTGACTAAAATACAATCCCTCACACTAATAATGTGATGTATAGTCCTGTCTCAAATCTTAGAATCCCCCTTTTTTAATAAACACACCCTTTAGCCGTGATTTTTACAGAGAAAATAAACGTTGGATATATTTGAACCAGAACAGCCAAAGTCTTTTAGGGTTAATTAATGAGGTATTGTTTTTTTTTTAACACCTAAAAGTTTAGACAGTTTTTTTTTTCTGTAGGATTGATTTAAATATTTTAATGTTACACCTTAACTGACCCGTGTTCTAAATGTTTTTGTTTTTTTCGGAAGGCCTTATTTTGCCCAGCGGAGAGATCAACTGGAACTGCCCCTGCCTGGGCGGCATGGCCAGTGGACCCTGTGGCTCTCAGTTCAAGGAAGCGTTTTCATGCTTTCACTACAGCAAAGAAGAGGTGAAAGGCTCCGAGTGCATCGAACAGTTTCGAGGCATGCAGGAGTGCATGCAGAGATACCCCGACCTCTACCCCCAGGACGAAGATAAAGAAAACTCTTCCCAAGCTGAATCGAGCTCTGCTGCTGATGACAACTCTGCTCTCTTGCCTGAGAATGACCCCACAACAGAGACATCTGAAGTTTCTGGTGACAAAATGTCATCTACGGTTAAGCAGACGGCTAGCTAAAGCCACCACACCATCACAGAGGGACTCTTATTGAGAAAAAAAAATAGAAGAACATTGTGACTGATTTTCTTTTGAGCAGTAAAAGCTGATTAACTACCGACACATTTGAAGCAGGGATTTGAGTCATCAGACTGGACCTGCAGCAGCAGGTTATCTTGCTGTCATTTTGGTTATTGGAGCCCATCACGAGCACACTAACCAAACCAATATCAGTTAAAGCTAAAATGGCTTGATATTTTATTTTTTTTTTTTACTACACATGCTTTGATGCGTAGCATCAACAGTGTTTTTTGCCACTTGAAACCAAAAACAAGGAGAAGATCAAGGCTGCTGTAAACCGTCTTGTGATGTAGATGTTCTGATGTTTCTGTGCTCATTGTCCAGCAGAAACGTCTATCCCTGCAAAGTGCTGCAGGCAAGAATTGTGTAGCTTCCTTAAAGTTTTTGCTGTCTAGACAAAAAGTCATTAGTTGGTTGTTGAAATGACCTTCATAGTGTCTGTGAGTAATACTGATCTGTGTTGAACTGGACAACTTTTATTTGTTTTCCACCAATTGCTTCAAGGAAAAGTTCATTACGTATTGTCTAATATGTGTTTATTAGTCCACAACAGAAGAATAAAAAAAACAATGATAGGCCAGGACTTGACATTTAGATCAGGGAGCTAAAAACGAAATTCAGGAATAGAAAATAAACTCATGGTTTAAATAAATTCTGTGTTTATTATTTTCCTTTATTTTAGCAAAAAGAGAAAAGAAAATCAGCTAATCTGTTCAATTTTTTTCAATTATCTATTTATAATCAGATAGCAAGCAGTGAGGAGTTCTAGAAGGACCACAGTTGCTGAAAAAGATGTTATTTTAAATGTGAAAATTTTGTTTATTTTGTTTGGTTTTGGCCTAATTTCTGCTCTTATTCGCTTCAGCCAATGGCATCTTTTAGAGTAGGCACATTAAAGATCAATCGATTGTTTCATCCCTAAAATAATAAATTGCTCTTTATTGGTCTAACAACTAAAATGAGGTTTACGCTTGTAACACTGAACAACTTTAAAATGATTTTCAAGAATCCTCTGAAGGCACTGTAATTCCTTCAGTTTTGTGAACTCACCTGGCCATGAGTTCGCCTCTTTGGTCTTTTTTAACATCACAACAGCCACTTCTAAAAGTTCTCTTTTTGGGAAACGGTCTGTTCTATATCAGGTTAGTCCCTTTAAATTCAGCTCTGCCTGTTGGAATCATAGGCATCCATTCATCAAGCCCACTGAGAAAAGCAGAGATAGCCGAGGCGTCCATGGAACTACGACACTCTGCAGGGTGACCAACAACCGACCCGTTCCAGGCTCCTCTGAGCCAGCAAGCAAGTATTTCACACCTGAGGGGGGGAGAACAGTGCAAAACAAGATCTTTTAGGACCATTTGTTTCTGAAATACAGAAATTATAGATTAGATTTGTATTTTAATGTAAAATTGCTATGTTGAAAATGCAGCATGATTTTGGAGCAAGTGTTTACCTGGGTTTAGGATGGGGCAGGTGCAGCCACGGCTGGTCCAGGACAGAGGGTACACACTGATGATCCCCAGGTGCAGCCTGACCTGACCAGATCTAAACACCTTACGAACTTTAACCCTCACCTCTGCATGGCTGCCTTTGTCATGAGCCGACAGCACACTCGCCTTAATCACTGTAAGGAGCCATAAAGGACAATAAGGAGATTTTTTGAAGCACAGTAAATATCGCATATTGTAGTGAGGAGCAGTTTTTACATCAGGTGATGCTTTAAAGTTAAATTTCTCACCGTAGTCATGTTTGGTCCTGCAAAGGTCAGTGATACTTCTCAGGCTTTTCTCCTTACACCTGCATTTTCCTGATTAAGAAAAACTATGTTAAATTCTGATTTATTTTTTCTTCTTCGGTCTAAATTATTCCTGATAGTGCAGATGGCCATCACCTGTGTTGTGTGAAGCAGACACTTCAAGCTCCTTCGACCATGACACTTCTTTCTCAGCCGTGAACATTTGATCCACATCAGGGATTTTTCCACCAATGGGCACATTCACTACATAATTATTTGGAAAGCTGCAAATATGGAGAAAAAAAATGAAACACATAACAAAGCATTACAGTTACGCCCTTACAGTATTAATGCCCATTAAACATGTTTGTTTACATATTTTTGATGTTACGACTATGAACATCAAAGTATTTGAATCATAATTTGATACACGCATCAAGAGTTTCAAAAACATGGCTGACATTGCATTCTGGGACAGCGGACTCTAAGACGCACAATGCTCAGTTCGCTGGGTGAGGAACGCTAAATTCCTCCCTGAAAGGTTTTCTGTTAAAAGGTATTCAGAAAAAAGCTAAGCTGTTACCAGGTTTACTGTTTCACATTATTTTGTAAAGTAAAAAAACTATCTTTAGCTTTATCTCGTAACATTCATAATCCAACTTTTGTAAAACATTCATGCTTGAAGTAACGGCCATTCTATAAAGCTTTATTATATTTTTTCCATGAAATATAGGTGCTGAAAACTAATAATTGCATTAAATGTTTTTCTGTAACTTAGAAATAGGATTTGGACATTGAAACTGGGTCATTAGTGGATACACAGGCTGCTGTAAGAAGAAAGCTGAAATTTGCGATAATCTCCTTTGAACTCATATTTATATAGTATATATTTATATAATAAAAGGAGAAGCAACTCTTACTTTTAAAAATATACATTTAATTAGGGCTGAAACCATAATCATCAACTCATTTAGCAATCAATCGTTAACTGGAGTGTAGAGCCTGCAAAACATGTCTTTAGCTGACAGAGCATTTGAGATTAAAATAACTTTTTCGTCTGTCAATAAGTTCCATCCAGAACTCCTCAAAAAGTTTGAGTTTCACCTGGTTTAATTTTGTGAAAAATCTTCTTTAAGGAACCTTTTGCTATTCGATTATTAACCAATTAATTGAAAAAATAATCAACAGATTAATCAATTTGCAAAATAATCTTTAGTTGCAGCCCTACACTTAATAATTCATATCAAACTTGGCCATTGTAAACTAATCATTTTTTG